CGGCGGCAGCGACCACAAAAGGATAGAAGCACTGACTAGCAAGATGCAAACAGAACAACTTCCCCCTTGCAAATCTTTGTATCTGGGCCTTCTGGAAAGGTCTGTCTACTTGGGGGTGGGGGGAATCTACTCCATTCATTTCACCCTTGCTGCAAACACCCTCACAGACCACCCAGAGGCATGTCTCTTAGTGGATTCTAGTTCCTATGGAGTTGAAAGTCAAGATCAATCATTACACTTGCTCTTCTCCTATCAGAATCCCACACAGGGGTAGGGGAGCACACCATAAGAAATTTGCTTGGTGATCTTAGATTCTAACTCTGCGGTGCAGAGGTAAGACCCTGGCGGTCATCATAGCCTGAGTCCCAGAGGCTGACCAGCCTGTTAGACCCCTCTGTATAGGGTTTTCTGCTAGTGGTCAGCATGCTGTCCTATCTTATCACTCTTGGATGAAGAAGGAATATTAGAAATACTTATCTAAAAAATTCATTCTTTGAGCCTTCTGTTTTTAGAAACTATTCTCTGCCTATTATTAATGCATCCATTCCTCCGAGAGAGAAAAATTGATTAGACTTTAAGCTTTATGTTGTGGCACCCATTATGTTACCATAAATAGAGCATAGCTGCACTTGGAGTTCCTGAGAGCCTTACATGCAGATTGTTCCTTGGAATGTTTTACTTGGCGGGGGGACTGATTGCATGATTGCATGATTACAGGTCACACTCAGAAGGTGACATTAATTCTGTGCTTTAGAGGTGGTGGTGGATGTTAAGTGCCAATGGCAGTATTCTGCAGACTTGTGTACCATCGTTCCTTTGAGAGATATTCTCTGCATTATCAGAGTTGTACTGTTTAATTCTTGGCAAGAACCAGTGCAGGCTCCCCAGCTTCTTGCCAGGTGGACTTGTAGCATGACCATTTTCAACTCAAAGATGACTTATAAAAACAGCATTTTCACAAAAGCCCAGCACCTACAGAAATGACACTGATAGGAGAAATGCCTCATTTGGTCTCTTCTCCCCCAGGTCTTATTAAAGAGTCCTTCCTCCCGACACAGTGAAGCAATGAAAATGTGCCTAAAGGCTTGTTTGTTGGCACCAAGCAAACAAATTCTATTATTAAGTAATAAAGGCCGTCAGAATTCATGGTATCAGACTTGCAGGGAATGGAGAGAAAGGGAAATTTGTATCATTTAGTGGTTAGCAAATTGCCATTAAACTCACAGTCAAAGGCCAGCCAGCTAGGTGGCTGATGTTTTAGATATCCCACTCAGGAGCGGGCTGCATGTCCCAAGGGGGAAGATTTGGAGCAGAGAAGTGGCATGATCCCATCAAGTGTCTGTGTGAGACAGCCCACTGTGGGCCAATGAGAATAAATGGGGGAAAAGAGGCCTGTGGAGAGGGTTAGGGAGAGCAGGCAGGAGGCAAGGGTGGGAGACCCAGAGGCAATGTATAGGACAACAGCTGTAGCTGAATGCCAGTCATGACTCTAAAGTCATATCAGAAAACGAATGACAGGCAATACCAAGACATACAGGACGACCCAGAAAAGAAGCTGCAGAAGGGCCCTGACTGTGGGCGGAACCGGATACTGCTGCAGGTTGGGAAGTGAAAGAGAGGCACTGAGGTCTCCTCTAACTTAGTGATGCTCTCTGAGAGTCAGTCGGTGAGTTTATAAATAGGGAAGAGTAGAATAGGCAATAAAGTGAGGGGAATGGCAAAGTGAGTTATTTTGCTTTTGATTTTGAGACAGGAGTGAATTGATGATGGCAATGGTAGAGAGCAAGAGGGTAAGGATGCTTTCAGAAGGAGCAGTAGGGAAGGACCTGATCTCAGAGAAGATGTAGAGGGGTGGGATGGCAGGTGCATTATCATATGTGAGACAGGAGGCCTTTCTTTCAGATGGAAGGTCAGGACTGACAGCTTTGGATTAATCACACCCAGCAGCACTGTGTCCTCTGAAACAGGCAGCATGATTGAGTGAGATGTTAGAAGGGCAGTGAATGGTCAAGACAGTAGGAGAACTGAATGTGCAGAGTGGCCACTGAGAGAACTGGGGCTTGAAATAGAATTGTTAAGGCCTATAGAAGGCCTAGCAAATTGGATGCCATGGATTTATCAAGTCACCAGCCCTATGGGCATCAGGTCTAGGGATATCTATGGTTGGAGCTGTATTTCTTCAGTCACTTATTTTGCAAGGGGTGAGGGGATTTCAGTGGAGGTAGGAATCAAGGGAGCTGACAAGATGTGATATGCTAAATGCTACAGATGCATAGTGAGACAGGCTTGCACAGAGACTGGTGAGCAGCAATGGCCATCTTACAGAGGAGCATTGTCAAGGAGGACCATTGTAGTCATCTCAGCTTGTTGGTCTGGGAAGCTTTACAAACCAAATTAGTCTCCATGTTCTAGCACATCTCCGGGGAGAGAATCACTGTGCTAGCCAGGACATGTCTCTCTGGTGGTGGAGGGGGTGGCGTGGCAGAGATGCTTACTGTAGAGTTTGGTCATGAATATATAAGCCCGTAATTTTCTGTTTGAGATAATTGAATAAGAAGTTTTCATCAGAAAATTACAATGAACTGGAATTAAACAGCAGTAATAAGACTTGGAGGGGACAGAAACAGAAATCATACTTGGAGCTTGCAGAATCTCTCCTTGATGTTTGGGGTGGTTTAGACAGTGCCTCTGAATTCTATTCCTCTTTCTTTCTCTTCGCCAGCAGCTCAGACCACACTGTGAACTAGTGCCAGGTGGACATCTCCTTATTCATCTCTTAAAATGAGATCCTTGTAGAGGACTATGATGCCATTTGCTTCTGTGGCTTGCCATAGCCAGGACTGCTTTCACCTCCACCCTTATTGATACCAGTCCTTAGAACTGGACTCTTCTGAGCAGGTCTCTGGGTTGGGGAGCAGCTTACACATCAGCCCTGCCTGGACTCATGGCTTGTTTTACCAGTTGCTTCTGACTCAGGGCCTTTGGAGTTCCTACTTTTTCATCTTGACTGCTCCCCTTCTCTGTTCCCTTTGACTTATCCGAAAGTTGCCTGCCAATCAGATGTTAAAGGGCGCTCACCATCACATCCCTTTTGGGCTGCATGCCACTACCTAAGATGGAATCTGTCATCCAGTCATGAGTTTTTTCATCTCAGAGATTTCTTTGTTCCTTTCCTCCAGAGTGTTTTAGAAAGGTGGAGGAAAAGGAAGAAACTGAAGATTGTGAATGAAAAACAGGGACAGAGAGACACAGAAGGCAAAGGGATGTAGAAAGGCCCCCTGTCTGTTCTCTGGGGATTGAGGGACTCCCTGCAAAGAGAGGTGTCTGTAGCCCCAGTGGTGATAAGAATAATTGGCCTGAACTGAGTGGCCTGAAGGTAGATTTCAGTGATGAATTTAGAGCAAGAAGACAACAGTTATTTATTGGCTTCTGTGTGTCAGATGTTCTCATATATACATACCCCACTTAATCCCTTTAGCTACTTGACTGGGAAGAATTAAGAAAGAGAAACTCACAGGCTGAAGGCTAAGGCCAGAGTGAAGCCCATAAGGCAAGGTCAGCCCCACTAACCCCAAAGCCCCTTCCTTGTTGGCTTCTCCAGAATCCATCCTGTCGTCTCCACTGTGCATCAGGTACCCTCATCTGATTTGTATGCAGCCTGCCTGGTCTGCAGCTGAGCAAAGCTAGTTTGTTTTTATTAAGATAGATCCTCTCCAGTTTAAGGAAAGGTGTATGAGACAGTTCTGCTGGCACCTGGTTGTCACCGTTCCACAATTGAACATTACAAAGCCATCGTAATTTAAAGCATCGCTGGCTGGGTAATTCACTTCATTAACGATGCTGCCTGAAGAAAACACACTACACATTAGCAATAAACAAATGCCTGTGAGTGCGGTAATGCATGGGAGTTGCACAGGAAGTCCTGTTAGGGAAAGAGTGGGGGGGGGGAGTGGTGGGAGGAGGAAGGGCAGACCACAGCTTAGGGGAGTCGGTCTCCCCTTCCACCCCGTATTCCAAGAGCTGAAATCGGGGCACCAGGCTCGGAGCCATCTTGCTGGCCCTCAGAGAGACTTTGTGATCCCACAGGCAACCCACACCCAGTAGTTTCAGAATGCACCGTAGAGAGATCTTGTAGAGTCAGTCGTGAATCTGTTTTGCTCTCCTCTTTACCTGCATGTCCCCTTCTCTCTCGCCTCGCATACCCAGGGTCTAAGGAAGTGCGGTCTGTCGTGTCTTTGTCCAGATCTCCAATCTGTTTGCCGGGCTCCCCGCTGGTTGACTCGGACACAGTGTGTCTCCATTGAACACTGTGTCCATGACCGTCACTGTGTCTAAGAGTCAGTCAGTTAGCATGCCTGTGTCCATGAGATTCTTTTATTTCTGAGAGTCAATTGTGAGAGTCGTGTGTGTGTGTGTGTGTGTGTGTGTGTGTGTGTGTGTGTGTGTGTGTCCTCGTGTGCTAGAGTCCATGTCCTTTGTACTATGCTGTTTTTTGGTTTGCTTATGTCCTACCTCTGATTTTCTGAGTTCATAAAAGCAAGCATGTGGGGCTCGTTACAACATTCAGAGGCCAGCTCCGCCTGTGTTCTTCATGGAGCAAACATTAATTTCCTGTGTCTCTGAGCTTCTTACCCAAGACAGCTATTTTTTTTTAAAAAGGCTATTTACATACAGTGATTTAAACCACTCAGTAGCATCTTCATTAAAGATACTAACATGAAAATACAAAAAAATAAAATAAAAAATAAAAAAAATAGAAATACAATGCCTTCAACATGGATTTCTTTTCAGTTTGACTTTACAATGTAATTTTTCTAAAAATTTAGACCCATCAGATGTGAAAATATCAATTTCCTTTTCCAGTGAGAAATTCAATAATGAAATGAAAACCAGACTTCATTTGGATATATACCTTATCAATGAAATCTGATTTTTGTTAATAATATCTTACATACTTTCATTTTAAATCAATCTTTTTTTCATTCTCTTTCACGAAACAGCACATATCTGGAGGAGAAGTCACCCCAGCTGACAGAGAAATGCAAAAATCTGCAGTCTGACTTGAAGTCTTTATTTAACAAAACGAGACGGTAAGTTCCACTCTTCACATTCAATTTTAAGTAAGTGTTTTGTATTCAAAGCATTCCGAAGCGTATTTGAAATCATTTGGAAAATAAGGTTGTGCTCACTGCAGGATTGTTGGCTCTGAGAATGTCCCCTTGTCGAGGAGGATGGGGGAGGGATGACCCGTGCAGAGCAAGGTCGTCCCCTGGCTGTAGGACTCAGCTTATCTGTCCCAGAGTCACATTTATTATGCCCGATGTATTCTAGCTGAAATTTAAAGCCTGTACACCCTTCTGAATTTGATGTGTGGTTGAGGCATTATCCTGGGAAAATGCTCACTTGAACAAAATTTTGCTTACAACTTCAAGTTCATGGTTTACCTCTGGCCCCAGCTGTGGCTCCCCCATCACTCACAGACTGGAGCTTACAATCTCCAATTTTCAATAATCTACCACATCCTCTTCTTCAAACTAGGGAACAGGCAAACCAAGATCTCTACACTTGAGGCATGGAAGAGGCATCGGTGACCTGAGACTCTGGTATCAGGGTCACTGCTTGGATCATAGCTGGAAAGACTAGCAGTGTTGGACTGAGGAGGTTCTGTGCATGAAGCTTGGAGTTGAGTTGTGCTTGTAACTCCCCTTAAGGAGGCTAGAGATATATCTCAAGTGGTAGGGGCTTGTTTAACACATACAAGCCCTACGTTCAATCCCAGTACTGCCAAAAAGAAAATGAAGCGTGTGTGTAGGGGGAAACCTTCCGGAAAGGACGTGTTCTGAGTTTCATTTTGCTGTGTGCTTAGCTGATAGGGTGGTGGGGGCGGGGGAGGAGGGTAGTAACAGGTAAGAGATGGAGCTGATTTCCTCCCAGGAATCTGTTCCAGGGAGACTGACCCAGGGTCCATCCTCATGCTTTCCTTCCATTCTTTATGTTAATATTCCCCTTACCTTTCAATTATAAAAATGGTGCTGGGGGAGGAAGACGTTGAGCAGGTAATCCACTTTCTCTCTTTCCTGAGTGTGTGGGAGACTGACCTGAGCAGAGAAGCCAAGGTAGGTGGCCTGGTCCAGCCTGCTTTACAACTGCACCTTGGTACAAACCAGTTTAGGACTTTTACTTAATACATTGAGCCCTCCAGCAGGCTGCTTCCTGACTAAGGTAGAGATGAGTGTTAACCAGGATCCAGGAGACAGGACCCGTTGGAAAATGCTGTGCAGGCTGTGCACTTTCTTGGGTATGACAGGGAGATGTTTCACAATGGTGCCTGCTTTGTGAAGACTCTCACGTACCTCACATAGAAATCTCATTGATTGTTCTAAACCAGGTCCACCGGGGGAAGGCAGGACCAACATGGTAACCCTTGATGTCCCATGCGTCTCTTTGTTTTGTCTGAACCTCCTGACTGTCAAGATCCTTGAAATTATTAGAAAGCATAACAATGTTAGTGGGCTCTGAGTTGAGTTGATCTCATTGGACATCCTAATCCTGTACAAAGGATGGACTGTTAGTGACTTACCCTCTTTCTGTTCCGATCCAGATGAGTGCTAAGGTTCCTGGAGAAATTGCCCATGCTGTGTGGCCCCCATGCCACACCCGATGCTGGTGCTCTGCTCACCCTTCTAGCCCATAATAGCTCCCCAGTTTTCGGCTATCGTTGTTCAGAAAGGTGGACCTACCCAGGCTTCATCTTTGACTGTTTGTGGTATTTGTTGGATTTGAACATGTGGGAACATGCATAAGAAATCAAGAAGCAGGGGGAAGGAACAAGAGTGCTCTCCATGCACAGCCATTCCGGGTTTCCAGGTCACATCACTGGCCAAAAGAGGAACATGACTTTATGACTGTCTCCCCGCTCCCCGTTTCTGTCTTGTCTCTCTCTGAATCTCTTGTCTCTCTCTCCCTCCTTCCCTCCTCCATCCCTCCCTCCTTCCTCACTACCCTCTCCCTTCCTATCAACTCAGTGATATATTGTTAAAAGTCCCTGAAATCTGCCCTCACCCTTGAGAGCAGTCCCTTCTATAACTCTTGAAGTTACACAGTTTGAGTTCTCCGTGGGTCCCGCAGTGGCCCGAGCTTCCTGTAGACTGCTTGGAACACCTGTGTCAAGGCTTCTCACCTTGTGCCGTCCCCTCACTAGACTCAGAGTGGCTTCTGCATTGTAGATGGCACTTCACATCTGTTTTGATCCTGTCCGACCTGTTGTATTGTTTGGGGGCCTGTGGATGTTACAAGGCTTTGGTCTAGCATTTCCAGAGAGACTCTCAATTCTAAACCTTTTGTAGTTCCCATCACATAAGCAGGCACATGAGGCTAAGAAACAAGAAAACTGGAAGAAGAAAACATGGTTCTTGGCTCCAGCATGCCCTGTGGAAATCTGTGTATGCCTTCCCTCAAATACATGTCAGCATATGGCCCTCGCCTCTCACTGTCTTTCTCACTGATGTTGTCCAGTGTTACTTCTTAAAGTCCCCAGTGGAAGGATAGTCCCTATCTGCACATCCTGGCACAGTACTGAGTCAGCATGGGGGAAGTTCTCTAATTTTCTGACCTGAGGTCAGGGAACTGATACCTCTGGGTGTGCTAGGACAGAGCAGTCAACTGCAGCATGCTAATGAGAATGACTGGGCACATGCTCTCCTGTGCATTTTCTCAGTCTTGCCCTGTAGTTTGCAGTTTGATGGCAAGACCTTTCCTAGCCGCTCTTCTGGGGCTTGCCTTCCCATTACACACACACAATTTTCAACGAGCCCATATAATTAGCCTGCGCTAGGATTCTGTGCAGCAGAGGTCTAGGGAGAGCAGGCACAAAGGGCCCACTGCTAGGAAAGCGTTATTCTTGCACACAGGAGACTAATTTTTTTTTTCAGTTGTATTGTCTATTGTCAGGAATTGTGCGTTCTACAACCAGGGGACAATTAGGAAACTTGCAGGGGACAATTGGGAAAGCCATTCAGTGTATGGTGATAAAAAAAAAAAAGCAATTTCATTTTCTTAGAAATAATTATTTAGCCCTATTTTTGTCATGGTCTGTTAAAGACTTAGAATTTTCTCTTTCATCGGGCAATTTGTCCCTTTCAGGTTGCTAAAATAGGGTTTAGGAGGCAGAGTTACAGTGGGAGGAAAAAGCACCCTTTTTTTCCTCCCTAGTGTTGACTACATTTTTAAATAAAAGAACAATTAAGCAGTAGAATTAGGATAATCAGTAGAATGAGTCTTATGCATGGCAATTTCTCTCTCTGTCTCTTTCTTTGTGTGTGTGTGCATGCATGCATGTGTGTGTGTTATATTTATATGTACTTGTTAATGAGGTTATGTGGACCTGTGCATGCATTTGTGTGCTTGTCCATGAAGGCCAGAGGTGCATGTTGAATGTCTTGTCAATCACTCACCATTCTCAGTCTGAGACAAGGTCTCTCACTGAACCCAAAGCGCATCAACTTTGCTAGCCAATTTGGCTGGTTATTGTGCTTCAAGAATATGTCTGTCTCCTCCTCTTCCTGCAACTGGGGTTCAGGCATACAACACCTCTCCTGCTTTTTAAATGGATTCTGGGGATCAACCACACTGTGGCCCTCATGCTTACACAGCAGGCACTTTAACTACATCCCCAGCCCCAAGATTCTTTATTCTCTGTTTAAAACCATGAGCTCCTAGGTGAGCAGGGCATTGTTTTTAGTTCTGTCTCTCATGCCTAGACATGAATTAGTTGCTTCATAAACATTTATGGAATAAGTAAATTAATTAAGTCTGTAAAAATAACTACTATACCGTATAATCTATGAATATTAAAAATTAATCACTCAAACCAGAAGTTTTAACTCTTTTCATGCCAATTTCCCTTTCTGTGGCTTTTCTCATTACTTTGGGCTTGTGCCTTTTTGGGGGTTGATTTTCTAACTGATCCATTGCCCCTGACTGCCTCCAGGTTTCTCCAGTATAATCCTTTTCACTGGGTTTTCTACCAGGTAGAAATATTAAACTATATTAAAAATACAATCTTATTGCTAGTCTTCCCATTTCTCATTATGGCAAACATTATTTACGTATCTTTTGCTCATATGTCTAGAAACAATGGTGGTATGGATGTCCAAGCTGTCCACTGTTTTTCTGACTCTGTTGTTATTAGTCAGATTTTCTTTGTTGTAACGAGTACCAAAGACAAAGGAACTTAAGAAGAGAAAAAGAATCATGGGGCCACAGTTGTAGATGCTCCTGTACACGATTAGACAGATACAAAGCGTTTAGGCCTCTGGTGGGAAAGTAGCATATTGTGGCAAAGCAAAACTGTTTCCCACATGGCTGGAATGCAAAGTCAAAGAGAATCCCAGAGTTCTCTTCAAAGGCTCACCTCCAGTAACCGAAATCTTCCTACCAGGCTCCACCAGGAAATGTTCTAGCATTCTCAAGGGTGCCAAGCTGGGGACTGAGCCTTTCATGTTTAAGATTTGAGGGACATTTAACATCTAAACGCTAACAATTTTTGAACTTTCTCTTCTTTGTGGGTCCACAACTCCCTCTACAAATTATAGTTATATTTATTTAGTTTCCATTGTTTGGCCAGAATGATGAACTACTCTAGTGAAATCTCTCAGAACGCAATGTCTTAATGCAAACTTCTATTTGCCAACTCACAGTGTTCAATATTCCTTCCTGATGAGGAAGCTCCCTTGGGAGTCTTCCCCCTAAATATTGACTCAGTGATTCTGATAGTTACCTCTAACAGGCAGTGCCCTGGAAAGACAAAGGAAAATCCTGTATTCTATACTGCTTACAGGAGACTCCAGTTATACTCACATTCTACTGACTGCTTTGAGTCAAGAAACCATGAATGGGTTTGATGTGAGGTTGGTGTTCGGGATGTGAAAAGAGATGGTGTCTATCTAGGGAGCTGCTTGCAACAAAAACTTGACACTCTAAAAGGAGACTACTGTCAGCAGATGTCAACCAGGCATCTCTACTCCATATGTTTCCAGTAGCTTTACCATTCCGATCATCATATTAATTATAGGCCTTATCTTAGTTAGGG